TGATTATACCGATAAACTCGTTATACCGATGCAAATGGCCGGTGCCACTCGTATCGGTATAAAGAGGTTTGACTGTACTATTCATATATTAGTATTTTATATATCACGTGATAACGAAATATTTGATTTGTATAATACCCGGGTCTTTTTCGGCCTAAACTGCTGCGGGGTACTATACATAGGGGGTATGCGCTCTACGGTACTTAGTGACAATTTTTGACCCGTGTGGCGTAGCATATAGGCATATGAGGGGTTTCCATTTAAACATGCTTTCTTGACAGAGATTTCATAATGTAAAGTGGTTTTATACTTCTCAATTGAGATATAATGCTGATATGGGGGTCATTATGTATAAGATCTTCAACGATATTAACGTTCAAAAATGTAACAGCTTCGCGAGGACGTCTAGAATGGTGTGCATCTTTGATGCTTGATTGCCGGCTTTGAATGCTTCAATCTAGCAGTAAATAGTATGTTTGAACAGTGCTTTAGTCCCTTCAACAATGACTAACTATTTGTGAATGTCGTCCGCCCCTTTACCCGTTTTTCCAGCAAACACAGGTATAGCATCGTTAATCTTTACGAGTAAAAAATTATCCAGTTTTCCGTAGACAAATTTCAAAAAATTTTTCTCAATAACCATCAAATCAAACTGGGTCAAAGTTTTTATGTACGTTGTACCTCAGTTGGGAACCTGTATCGGTTCTGGACTGAGACAACTGAGTTCTGGACTGAGTGACTGGGTTCTGAACTGAGACAAGTCCTGAACTCAGACACAACACATGTATTAGTTAGATAGTACCAATAATTGTCAATTTCCACCTAGTTAAAAGTAGGAGAGCCACACTTTGCTTGAAATTAGCTAAGTTTCTAGAGTTGATAATCAACTGATCTCCCGTAATTGTTGTTATTTGTATACTTTAACTTTTTGTATAAGTGTGTTACAAAAAAGAAAGCTTTCAACATACAAATATTATGCAATATACATATTATTTGTTTAAAAAGATATATGCACAATTGAATATTACAATATGAAAATTTGATTGATATAGACAGATTTATTAATAAAATTCACTATAACCAGACAGGTTTTATTTATAAATTCAGTTTGGTTCACTACAACCAGAGTTCCGTTCACTATAGGTAGCTTTAACTGTATTTCTAATGTTAACAAATCTTTCTTCTTCTAATACACCCAGTTTTGTCTCCACACTGTATTACAATTCAGTTAATATACTTTGCTGACATATTTCTGCGTAGTATACAAGCGGTGTATTTAAGCTTTCCGATACATCTCCTTTAAACTAAACAATTGGAACAAATATTATAATATCAATTCTATAGTAATCGCTATAATAATAAGAGGTTGAAAGAGATAATTTACTCCCTCAAATAATAAAAATGTAGAGTAGCAATATCTCTGATGTTTGTGATAGCTCTTCTTCGGATGAATTATATTTAGTAAAATAAATGTTGAATAATGATATGGATCCATTTCAATGGCAAATAGTTGCCTCTTTGACTCTCCATTTTTAACTGGTTTTGAAGATTCGATCAATTTGTCTATCGCTCGAATCCAGTATTGGTGATTAATATTAAGATGTCAGTTGTGGTACATTTTCTTGACAATGTATAATTTGATATTTTGTTTGATGGGTTTTATGAAAGTTGAACTTCCAATATCTCTGACAGTTACCACCTGATGATATTATGGGTGGACTACGACCAACAGCGCCTGACCTGATTGTTCATAGTGTTCAATGTCAGGAAGACAAACTTAAATTGGCTGTGCAATAGCTTACAGTCTGTAAATAGAACAAGGGGGAATATGCATCAACTGTATGATCTCTTCCCAGTAGTAGTTGTTGTCCTGTGAGCAAAAGAGCAGTTGATGAGTATCAGTTGACGGTTCAAGTGATGGCGCGGCTCTTCTGAGAAATGGACTGGCTGATTGGAGTATCATATATCAGTTGAGACACGCTGGCTTCATTGTGATAAACCCTTGTTTGCTTGAAAGTTGTTAATAAAAACAAGAGTTAAGGAGGAGGAGTTATAAATATTTGGAGTTTAACGTGTTGTGTTGATATTGATGCAAAAACACGCGACACGTCACGTCACGTCACACGAACCCGACGCGTTCTTATTATTATTATTGAAATTACGTGGTCGCACGTTTTACAAGCCAGGGGTAGATCACGAGGAACTTTCATACACAGCAAGGTGCCCAGTTTAAGCCGTTACCAGGCCAGGGACCCGGTCATACGCAACTTCTCTCGAAATTAAATCCGAATTGAACCGAATGTTTGCTTTAAATCGGGCCTAAAATAAATTCGGTTGAGCCGGTTTTTGGTTTTAATTCGTGCTGTAATGGAAAAATTTCGAATAACTCATTTTTACCGTTGTTGCAATATTATGTTCTGTTAATTTACTGAATGTAACAGTAATGTGTGATGACGGAAGCCGACGATGACTCTGATTTTCTGCGGACAGCTATCACCCGCCAAGGATAAAGCTTTACTTGGCTAAATCATCATTTGAAGGATTGTGTGCCATTAAATTATATCACTGTACATGTTTGTTAATTGTTCACCGTATAATTTTCTTATTGACATTAAGATATATTTAAGACAATGTTTCGTATAATAATAATAATGTATATTCTCATTCTCGTATGTTAAGACATGATTCTCCTACGTGTCGTGCTCTTGGAACGAATATATTAATAGAAATAGAATGCTTGCCGGGAATGTCAATTCACGTGTTAACTTCACCACATGGAGAATGACTCGCCACCATAACCACATAGATTGGGTTTTGCCGAACACATATAATTGGCGAATGATAAAATGGATTGAAAAGAGATTATCTGAATTGAATTCTGCCCGGCGAATAGAACAAACTATAGTTAATAGAACATGAAGAAACTCTATCTAATAGAAGTACATTATGAGAACGCGTCGTTAATATTCCACACAATGCACCAGCTCGGTGCGACACCGTCCTTACGATGGCAGGAGATTGATAAGTTGTGGGCCGACAATAGCATTATATTCAGATCACGTCAAGACGTAAGTCATATTGTCATTTTGACGTTAAATTTGTGAACCACATCTAGCAGATGTAGATGGAGAATGTCTGGCGAATGATATCAAAATTGATATATGCGAGAGAATTTAAATATGGAGAAATTTGTTCTGTAATTACTGTTGCTAATATGGAAAGTTTGATATTAACGGGGTGGATATTAGAGAGGGTCGACTGTAATACGTTATCATTTGCGATAATTGTGTTTTTTTTTTAAGAGTAGAAAGGAAATGTGTAATCTTGGTCTACTTTATACGTTTTGATCCGTATGTTTTGAGCCGTTTTTCTTTTTCCTAAAGAAGCGAATAACCAAGCTGAATTTCATGTTTTGGATGGTCGAAATAATTTTTCCGTTACTTCTCTTCCCGCCTAATATGTTATCCAGTTAGAGAAGTTCGTATTCACTACCACATCTCCCTCGACCGATCTATCGGATAAGCTTATAGTACTCACCAAACTATTCATCAGACTCTCTGACAGGACGCCGAATGCCATTAACCGTGATTGCATGCTTCTCTTGTCTGGTATTATGTTTATTATTCCAATACCACCCACTAGAGTTCCTGTTCAATTTATTCAATCCCATTAATATTCCTTACCCTTGGCC